TTTTAAAAATATTTCCCTATCTGGTTTTTTCTTTTTTAGAAATTCACAAATGAGTTCAGGAAAGCCAAAATAGAAGAGGACAAAGAAAATACCGAAGGACTCAGACCGGAATCCTATTTCTATTATATTCTCCTATTTCTATTATATTTTCTGTGAAGCTACTCGACTCCAAAGAAGAGAACGATTAACAGAATTTGGTACAGAGTATGTTTTGCCACTAATAGAGTTTGAAAGATCGATTTATAAATTCTTTAGCAAATATTTACTTTCTAAATTTTAATCGCGTTTTTCTCGAAACAGTATTTTTCGTTATTTTTATTATGGTAATTCAAGAACAGGTGCTTTTAAAATAAAATTATTTTTTTAAAATAAAATTAATGAATTTTTCCGCAAACTGAACTTACTTTTATATATGAAAAATTATTTTTTAGATTCGTTTAAACTGCAAATAATATGAATTTTTTGACATTTTTTAATATCTAATCGTTATTGCTCTTATCTTCAATTTTTTAAATTTTAAGTTCAATCTATAGAAAAAAATAACATAAACAAAATGGCACCAAGAAAATTGAAAAATTCCAACTCGTTCATTCGGAATCGTGAGAAAAAAATCACATTGCGCAAATGGCGCAATCACTTTTAATTACCTATATCTTCCTCAAATATTCATATTTTTTGGACTTTTGATTTTGTTTATTAAAGAAACTTATATAATTTTCGATTTTGAAACTTTTCTAATCTCCTTAATGAATGTATTATAAATATTGAGATGTTACTATTCTATTTTTAAGAACTGGCCAATTCCCAAATTGCGTAACAATGTTCGCGAAAAAAATGAAATGAGGCTTGCCACAGCAAAACAATGTGCTATTTTTTTTTTAATTTTACAGAAGAAAAAAAATTGTAATGTAATAACTAATGATATATAAGCAATTAATCTTTGCAAACATTTTAATTAATTCTAGTTTTTCAAAAATTAAAGTTGTTAAAATTTTGAAACATAAGTTTAAGTAAAAATGCCAATTGAATTTACGACGTTTCGAGATGCACTAACCATTTTTTTCCACTAGCAGCATTTTCCATGTTAAATATTAGTGTCATAGAACGTAAAATTTACAACCCATTCATACAATAAAACACATTCTCATAATTTTGACATTTACGTTTTGTCATAACACACCTCAAATATTTCAGAAAAAACTACAAAAAATGTAAAAATGTTATTGAAAGAGCACATATTCTTGTACATTACTGTGTATTAAATATTAAATTGAATAATATGTCAATAGATTCTCACGGTAATACATTTGTAGCGATGCGCAAAATGTTATCTAAAGTACTTCCTTTAAAAAAGTGGACTAAAGATTAAAAAGTATAGTATACAAGTAAATCTAAAGTTTACATTATTAAGACTTCGAGTTCCAGATAAGCTTTAATAAATATCATTGTATTTGCCAAAAACGCATATAATAGTCCAACAATAAGATAAAGTACTCTAGAATATCGCTTTTTCTTAGCACAACATAAAAAAGTTCTTCTAAAAGAAAAATTTTATCTCGAACTAGATAGTCTTTCTCATTAAAATTAATTTTAATTAAAATAGTTGTACATTTACAGAATATTTACTAAATATTTATGGTATCATATTAACTTGAAACCTTGAAGAGTTTTTAACATATAAAAGTAATTACGACTGAAATACTTCTCAATAATCACGTCTAAAAAAAAATGGCAAATATCATTTATTGTTTATTTAACAGCAAAATGTCTAATTAGATCCAGCTTATCAATCGAGATTTAAAGAGGCGGAACATCTGACGTCATGTACGTGCCCCATTTTTCGAAGATTAGATTGCAAGATAAAAAGACTATCAAGACATCAAGAGTAACAGAAAGAAAGCAAGTATTAAAAAAATTCTGACAGATTAATTTTACTTCCTTTCACTTCAAACAGCATATAAAGTCACACCGTAAATTTAAGCAACAAAGGCGAGGCCATCGAGTATCGCTCTTTCCCCAGTGTATCCTTACACGCCGCGTTTACCTTCAGCAGTCCTATTCGTCTTCTTTTATTCGACGCTCAAAATAGGCGGAAAAATGTGGAGAAAAGATACAATCGAGAGGAATAACTCAAAGTCCTGTTGACACACGCGATAAGATTGTCTGTCACGGAATCCGTTCCGAGGCGATTGCTGGCCTCGTTCAGGCACATGTGACTACCAGGAAAAACTGAGGACTCTCCCCGTCTCTTTACGTAGGAGAACCTCCGCGAGATCGCAATGACTGGGAGGTGGGGAATACCTGATTGTCGTTTGCGCTCACGTCAGACATGCAGATGCGAACGTCGGTCCTGAGAATGCAGCCCGTTTCGTTACATAAATATAACAAGCCACGACGAGCTTTGCACGTCTGTTATAAAAAAAAAAAGGCAAATCAGCAAATTACGTGTAGTTACCAGTAAGTTTACTGATCCATTTGTCAACGATAAGGTTAAAAGTCAGGACAATTAGCATGTCTTTACTAAAATAAATGTACACATTTTTTTACTAATAGGATTCATTTTTTTTTTACTCTTTTCAAAATCACAACCGTATATGTATGTATTTATCAAATTATTTTACAGTGAATTAACGCTTCATTGTAACACATCGACGGAGACCGCATTTAATCGAGTAAATTATACCTCAGATTACGCGCGTCCGCTTTTTCCAGCTATTTCCAGTTTTATCCGCTTGAATTAATACGAATGAAAATTGTATACAGGAATTCATATTAAGATACAGATTTACACTGGCCTTTTGCAGTGAAAAAGAAACATCGTAATTTTTGAGAGAAAAAAAAGGAGATTCGGGAAAGGTGTGCAAAAAAGTTGCAGAAAAACTTCCAGACGAATATTGTATCTATGATGCGTACAATTCGTTTGTTTGCTGTCGGAACTTTTGAGAAAGGAGAGGAGGTTATGAGAAATTTCCGAGTGTACGATCTGTGTCAAAATGTTGAGAAAAAAAGAGGAGTTGCAAGAAACGTCCACGATCGAATTTACTCGTTAGAATTTTTGAGTAAAGGAAATAGCGAGAAACTTAGACCACGTGTATGACCTACTTCTCTTGGCAGCACGTGTCTACGTTTTACCGCGCTTTTACCCTTTTCTCCTTTCTCCTCGTTGTTCTCTGTCGGGATCGGGACTACGATAATTGTTATCGTAACGCTCGAATCTCGCAATGATAGAAAGGCACCTGGATGATGCAAGCATACTTTCTTCTTTCCAAAGCAAAATTGCAACTTCGCGAGTGGAAGAAAATCGAGGAGCCAAGAGTAGAAAACGACCGCCGCAAGTCGGAGAAGAAAACTGAAGAAAATGAACGAAATCGGGAATGTTGAAGGAGAAAATCAGACAGACGCGTACACACAACTGTAATAAAAAAAGAAAACCGGCCGCTCCGACGAGTCGCTAACAAGAAACGAGAGCGCTAACGAAATTGCTAACAAGCCTTTAACGCCTCTATTAACGTCCTAATAATTCGTGGAAAATACGATGATTCATTCGCATCACAGTCTGCGAAGAGGAAGACACGTGGAAGGGAGAAGAGAACGCCGTACTGAACGATTTAACAGGCATCTTAACCTATGAACTCGCCCACGCCTCCCCTATCTCTCGTCAAAAGTGACGGGAGAACGAATGGGTTAGGATTTCGTCACGAGACGCGCGAGATCGAAACCGGGACGAATCTCTTCTGACGAATGTTTCTCTCCTTTTTTTCCGTCCCCTTTCGATAAGACAATACAAAACAGATAGGGAGGGAAGGAGGGAGACGCGAGATCGCGAAGTCAGGTGACTATTTTCGGTTCGCGGTGAATTTTTACGTAATCCCAGCATAATCCCGTCAAACGACGCGATCGATCGGTCGACCGACCGGCGACAATCGCCGATGACGTTCGACATCACCGGTCGACAAGAGACGCGACGCGGTCTCAGCAACGTAGTCCATCAGTCGGAAAGCTCACATACCTGATGTTAACGCGACGAGGGTCAAATGCCGTCCACCATTTGCAACTCGATACCACTCACTTCTACTCAATTCTCGCTTGTACTCGCTCCAACTCGCTCAATGCCCACCGCCACTGTACGCTTTCCTAAAATACACTCGCCAAGAGAACCCGAGCGCGACCTGGCGATGAAAATTTCCCTCGCGGTCACGTGACAGAAGCGCGTGAATTGCTTGGGAAATCTCAACATTTGAAATGTAATCTCGAGAAATATTTTGTGCGGCAGTTTGATCAAATCTCATTTTTTTTTAAATTAATTTGTCAAACATTTGCATTATTTTATCATGACGTTATTCATTTTTTGCTGTTTAACATAGAATTTTATTTTTTAAAACTAATTAAATTAATTTAGAATTTGTGTGGTCAAAGTCGCGCCGTTTTCCACTCACAGCACACAATATATAAAAATTAATATTTGCTAAATATTTTTACATTAAATAAATATTTAAAGAACACGTTTTAAAAACATTGTCTGTTGATTAGGTTACCTTTTTACTATAATTACTTTTAATAGTTTAATTGAATTTTTAATAATAATAAGAAAAAGTCTGAATTCGCGATTTGAAAACAAATTACATGAAACGATAAATTAAATTGTGAGATTTTTTTAACTATTTTTGTGATAATACATACACTTCTTATGATAAAATTTTAAAAAAATATACAAATTCTAATTTTGGTTATAATCACTACACGTCAAAACTTTTACATTTTCGTTGTCAAATTGTGTAAAAGTTGAATTTGTCTCTTTATGAATTTTTTTAAAACAAAGAAGAATGCGCGCAACAAGAGAACGATGTGTTTGTCCAACGTGTTGTGTAACTGTAACCTACGTATTATTTTTCTAATTTTGTACGTATATTTTGTATGTATGTATTGCGAGAGATAAATTATTTTAGAAACCATAATAGCAGTGTAATCTTACGTAAATTTTGAATAATGTATGTGAAATTTTATTGTATATTAAATTACACGAGCGAGGAATTATGAAAGTTAAGAAAAATTTTATGTAACCAACATGAACGTACAAGACGAGATAAGTGAAACTTTTGGTAATCATTTAATTTTAATAAATGAATAATAAAATCTTGATAGATAAACATTTAAAAAAAACAGTGGAATCCCATACTTGATAACTAATTTTTTTTAATATTTATATATTGTCATATTTTTTTCTTTCAGAAATATCTCTGAAAAGTCAATCCGAAATGCAATCATGCAAAGTAGACGAATCAGAAAGCAGGCCAAACATTGCATTAAACAGTATCGTATAAAAACCAAATTTTTTAAATATATATTAACATTATATTATATTTATTTTTGTCTGTTAATGCTACGTTGAAATTAGTTCCAAACTTCTCAACAGTTTTTCTAATAAATTTTAGATTTTTCGAAAATGTCATATAAAAAATATATACAATTGTTAAACAACTTTTGAAGTTGAAAGTTAAAATTTTACAAATTGAAAGGCTATATGAGAGTGCATACAAATTTTAATTTGTTATATATATTGTACATAAGTTTACATTAAGATATTATTACAAATTTAATTTGAGGGATTAATAACTTATACATAATATAGTACATAATAAGATGAAATTTATATACAACAATTATCTGCACTTTTATAGTTTTTCAATTTATAATTATTTGATATAAAAAATAATTTGAATAATACCAGTCACTATAATTTCATATAGGGATCGGACTGGAATTGGACAAAGCGGAGACAAAATGCTTCACGTTAAAATCAGAGTTAAATTGTATGATGGATGTTTGTCGGAAAGCTCAAACGGAAAAAAAAAGAAATAAAGAAGTTTCTGACATTTCGTCAATAATGTCATTAGATAATTTAGATTCAAAGTCTTTATTTGAACATAATGACTATAACAGCAACATTATGGATGCTAATAGAACTACAAACTGTAACATCCATCAAAGGATTAATAATATTGAATTAAAGACTGAAGAAAATTTTGGTAAAAAATTTTTCTAAAATTAAAAAATTAGTTTATATATTTTAATATCTATATTTCTGTAGATGCATTCAATTTGAGTCCAAAGTCTGCACAATTTTCATCTAGAAAAAGCATCAACGATGATGACATTATTGAGAGATCAGAGAGCTTAATGGAAGGAAATCAGAAAAGATTATTGAATGTTACAGTTACACCAAGAACTCAATTAAATAAAAGACTTTCTCATTTTATAACAATACCAACCCAGAACATCGAAGAAGACGTACGAGATTATATATATGTTTTACAAATATGTGTATTTTAAGTACATATTTTTTATACTTACGAGTTCGATAATACAAATAGGCGGGTAAAGAATATGAAAGCTATTACTTTCCGTCGAATATGTCCCTCGAGAGAATGACATTGAGAGCGGACGACGAGGATTATCTCCGCGCAATACCGTACTCTGTGAGGCCAGGTGTCGAAAAAGTTGAAGGTGCCATAAATCCAGGATTGAATTCGAACACGTCGAATGCCACAAAAGCCAGACGATTGATTAAAAGTAGATCGAGAACAGGGAGAAGCGAAAAGAACTCCGTGTGCAGGGTGGACAGCGCGTTGCCTAAAGCGCGAAAGAGGAAGACGAAGTTACGAAGTTCCATTTCCAAGAGCACAGTTACTACCAGAGACACGGGTTTTATTGGTAGAAAAGAAGCGAAGAGGCGCCGGCATAAAGGTGAAAAATCTCACACAGCACATTTTATCCTAAGGATGTCCTAGGAACGTCCTTACGCTATAGAACGTTTTCTGGACATCTTAGGACATCCCTTGGAAATCTGGGTATCGGTCATGTAACTTTTTCTTTAAAGCAGAAATGTGAAAAGTGAAAATTTATATATATTATATATGTACAGATCCTATAGAAAATTTTCGTTTCTGCTTTTTGAGGAAAAATTACATGATTGATTCTTTGTGCTGCATGGAATCGAATTTGCGTAAAATCTGTCTCTGTATATATATTTAGAATTATATCGTGTTATCATTAGAGGCAAATGACTCTGTTATTTGTGATAATTTTTGAAACAGGTCTTGTCGTTAATCATCAACCTCTCATCAGTCGCTCATCAAACGCTCCTCAACCAATCCATCAATCATTGTCTAATCAACCAAAGCATGTGAAAAAGTCTAATGATGTCGTGGAAATTTTTCATAATACTAAATTAAAGAATAACAATTTTGGGGTGTCTAGTAAGCACTCTAAAGATGATGGAGCTAAGTACGAAAAAAAACCGCATCTTTCTGAGAACAAGGAAAATCTGAAGAAGATTCAAGAGGCAGTGTTCAGTCCAAAAGATAAACATTCTGAAAATGTCAATCAGGAATGTCAATCCCATGATAAGAAAAATAAACAGGATCATTGTCTTCAGTTAAATTATCAAAGCAACACATTTTCAAAGTAATTGCATCATAATATAGTAAAGGTGCTATATACTACGTTATCATAATTATCCTAGGTAGTGATCATAATTATATTTATATTTCTGTTACCCTATTATATAATTATTATTATTATTCTCAAAATTTCCATCGTCATTACCTATTTGAACTTTTTTTCTCATAGAATAAAGCCTGAGATCACGCAAAAAAAAGAACAAGATAAATCAGAAAAGCTGATCCATTCCAACAATCTTAGTCCACCAGCACAGGATGAAACGCAGCAGTGCAAGCGAGTTTTCAACAGATACGATGATCCGTTATTCACGCCCAACTACGAGATGCCGACTTTAGCGTCGAAGTTAAAACGCTCGAGCAGATCGTACTTCAGCAGATTTAACTTCCGAAATATTCCATTCGTGGTAGGAACTTCGGTGACTCCAAGTCACAATCTCGGATTGAATATTCAACAAGTGAGCCGGCGAAACTCAGCAAAAAACAGCGGGTTATTTAAAAAAAAACGTCCTTCTATAAAAACGTAGGTATTGAGCGTGATGAAGACGAGACAGCCGATAGCAAGCGATGTCGCCCCGTTACTGATCCGCAAAGTCAGCAGAGGCATGAGGCCGATATCGGTTCTTCTGGACCAGATGAACTACGAGGGATCGGTCTCCAACGTAAGCTCGCAAATGATTGGAATGCTTAAATTTAACAGCAGAGAGAACCTCGGTCGAGATAAAAGATCGTCCGTGTTTAATTTACACGTGGGAAAGACGCAAAGTGGCCGTATGCCAAAGACGTTCGCGGATGCAGAAATTATTTCTGAAAAAGAAAATGATGTATCTAAACAGCTTTGCAAAGAGAAAGTTGAGTATTGCAATAATAAGACTAAACAGCAATCTTCTTCCACTGTGAGCAAAAGCAACACTTCGGCGAGTCCTAAAATTCAGCAAGGAATTTCGGGGATATCGTTAAAGGTAAATTGCATTTTAGCAGTTTTTGCTTTAAAAGTATATTATGACATGTTGATGCCGTAGGGTAATATCGGCGATTATAAAATACGTATTCCTGATTCGCACAATTCCAAGGAGATACGTAACGTTCTAATTAATCTTCACGATCAATTTGAAGAGATGAACACGTGAGTGTGTTGGTTCTATCAAAGATTTCCGTATTAATCCTATATTGGGTTCTGGTAAAATAATGTTGTTCACCGATTGTTAAAGATAAAATGATAGCTCAGTGGCACTTGGATGAGAATCTGAACATAGTGAAAACTAACTCATTTCGCTGAGACTCGAATTTCACAGTGTGGAGTCCTTCAAAAATAATTTCGATAGACATTTATTAATTACGTTCTTTACAGAAAATATGAAAGATTGCAATCAGAAGTGGACAAGTCTAACGATAAATCTTTAGCGAAGGAATTGTCAGCTCTAGAGAAGGAACTCAATGTCAAGGAAGAAGAAATCAACGCCGTTATCAGTCTCTATAAAGAAGTAAGAATCACTATTGAATAATATTCATATATTCTGCAATCATGCATACATTGTTTTCAATGACAATGCAAAAACAGGTAATGACGCTGAAACAGCAAATGAAGACGTTGCACGAAAGAAATAGTCTGGTTTGCATCGCGACCGAGTCAACCAAGGGATCCAGCAAAGATTCTTTTCCCATGTCTATTATACCTGAAAAATCGCAGATTTTCGGTCGAAGAAAAATTTTCAATGCCACACGAGAGCCGCCCGCTTCTATGCAGTTGGCTGCGTTATTACGGCAGATTCAAACTTTTCATAAGCAATTGCAGCTCGTGTCGTAACATCACATCGAGTCACGATAAAAGAGCAAGAAAATGGAATAAAATTGGAATTATTTTTACCAAACTGCCTACACATTGATATAGCGGAATTTGAGTATTTCCGAATCGCAGAGAGGATAGAGGGTACTAACTTTTTTTTTCCATAATACGAAAGACATATTCAAGGGCACGTTCGGATTTTCCCCAAGTGTCTCTATATGTATTATTTTATCCTTATTTAACATTTAAGGCGTGTTCCGTTTTCTCGTTCACAATGCTTGTAAACATCGCTTGTCCTTGACTTATTTAATATTTGATAGAAAACACACAACATGAGTTAAAACGAAACGTACTCCTATAATAAACAATAAGGATGAAATATTTAGGGAAATACGAGAATGGAGAATTCGAACGTGGAACGTTAGAAGGAATTTTTACTTTTTTCTTCTTTAGGGCGATAAAAAAGAACGAACATTTTCAGCAGATCATATTCCATTTTTATTCAATTCTGTCTACTACCCCATAATAATGTGTATTATTCGTTCGTATGCGTGTTACGGTTGTATGTAATTCATGTATACGCAGCTCTCCGCCTTGTGTGTATGTTATGTTTGTGTATATATGTATACCTCTATACATATAATATATTTATATATATGTATATACAGAATCAACATGTGTGTATAAACGCCGAAGGTGGTTTTCTTAGGATTTCTGCTAGAGACGGATTCATCGTCATCGCGGCTTCCACGGTCGATTGTAATTTTGTCAGTTGCAGCTACGTAACGTACGACGATATCCAAGAGAAATTGAATGTTACGCTACTGATTTCTTTTTCTATGCTTTTTTTTCGTTTCTTTCTGTCGTACGATTCTAATCTCTCTAGATATGTTCGTGTGATCCGCATGGCGTATCTAGCGTTCTTTCTTTTTATTACTAATTAAATGATTCGTGTAATCAATAGCTTGTCTCTTAGCTTCGCTAAATAAAATTGATTTTTGCTTCCCTCTGTATTCCGACTTCTTTCCTGAAGTATTCCTGCTTATCTCTCTCTCTCTCTCTCTCTCTCCCTTCATTTAAAAGCGTCTACACATAATCACGCGATCTATTCTTATGCGTTAAAGGATACTATCCACTACAAAATGTATCTTAGTTAACGTTAATATAAAATGTTATCTTAGATCTACGATAATACTAATTTGCTCTCTCTCTTTCTTACTAGTGGAGGGGCGCGGCTTAGATGCACCCGCGAGAAATAAAAACATTCCTGTGGGCATCAAATACAGAATTTTCTCTCGTGAACAGCGCAGTCCTTTTGGCAGTACGGATGGAGGACAATAATATCCTGACGAACGCGGAAAATGACCTCGTCACGGCGATAAAGTGCTCCTACTATCGCACATTTTGTTGTTACACATCATATAATGGAGTAATTAAATGGAAACAGATAAAACTTAATTTCAAGGATTGTCCAATTAACAAAGTGATATATTCTTTTTGAATTTTTTATATTTCAATATTTATATTTGAATAATATTTATTTTCATATATTTAGTCCAATTATTGGTATGTTTATAAAAAAATCTATTTTCTCACTTCTTCTTGTACTATCTCTATGATTACTCTGTCTCCAACCGTTCTTTCAAAAAGGACTCTGCTTCATGCTATATAGTCATTGTTGTAAGATCTTTTGAAGATATCGCCGACTTCAATCATTTCTTACAAAGAAAACGGCGGAAAAATCATCTCCCTTTATCCCGGTCCTCTATAAAATTGTTTTCACGAAAAGAAAAAGAGAACAGAAACGGAACCAAGTATTCCACACACACATTCTCCCATCTTAACGCAAATATATCTCTCATTATATCACAGACTAAAAAATGCTTTGGTCTAAAAAATTGTCTTATTCTTTTTTTTTTCACTTATTTTTATCAATTAGAACAAATACGCATTTCGCATTTACGTGTCCGCGACTGGCTTCGCTGCCAGTCGGTACATAATTATTTTCGAAAATATTAATTTTTGCCTGCAGGAATACGAGAACAGCAAATCATTCATCAATTTTCGTTTCCTGCTCAACATCAAAAAAGTTAAAACCACCGCGGCCTTTGTGTCTCGATTACATATCAGAACTTTCGAATCTGAAATGGTGGCTGATTTCGTCATTGTGTCGTGGTAAAATGAGAAAAAAACCCCTTCGGCGCAATTGAAACTTATCGTCAGTAAAATTCTCAAAGCATTTCTTTCATATTAGTCGGCATACAGTAGAACTCAAGCCATTAGCACCCTTGATTCTCGAGATTCTATGTGAAAAAATCGATCCAAGTGGAATTTTAAGGCGTTTTTACGATAGTAGTCCCTAGTCGGTTGTGTGTGTATACATTGCGAACGGCCTTAAAATCGTACTTGTACAAAAATATAAACGCAAAAATCAACGAGCTTCTCTTAGTTGAATATTTTTTTTCTTTCTCTTTTAATACGTTATTAAGATCGTAACATTTTATAGTACTCTACAATATTACAACATGTGATATCTCTTACAAGGTACTTATATTACGAGTATAACCCCCACAGATTCGTTCTTTACTCTTTCAGCATTAAAGTTCAGCGATTTATTTAAGATGATAAAATAAATATCGGGTCTATCATAACCACGTTAATCATTATATGGATACCCGCGCTCTCTCCCATCTTTTCTTTTTCAAGTCTTATTGATCTTACAATAATCGTCAGTAAGTTTATCGTCAGTGAGAAAAATTAAAATATCCTTTACGAGCAATAAAAACTAAACACTTCTCTCAATGATGAAATTAAAAAAAGAATCCCATTTCTTCGAAATGTAAATATTAGAAAAATAAAATTATATATTTTACTGTAAAATAAATGTGCTCTCTGACACGTTTCTCGCAATCGTATGATATACATCATTATATATTTGTCGAAAAAATCTTGATTTGTTTTAACGATTCAAAATGACAAGTTGGAACTTCGTTCGATATCTCTTCTTCGTTAACCGCTATAAAACTTGATACTTTAAGTACAAACAAGTTTAGAAATCTTTGCAACAAATATATATATATACATATAAAATATAAGTACATTTTTTACATTTTGTAACTAATCAATTTCATAAACTGTAAATGTATCAAAATAAGCATCAGGTTTCTCATTAGCGTCAAAAATGTATCTTAATGCTGCATATACAGTGAAATGAATGGAGGACAATTAAATGGAAATCTTCCATTGTAAATGAATATGTTAAATACAAAATGAACTGATGAACAAGATACGCGCGATTATATCATCGAAATTTATTCGATGATATAAATCTGAGCGCAACCGATTCACTACCTGATCGCGCGCGTCAGGCGGAATCTTAATTACTTTATATTATGTCGTAATAATCAGTTTAAGTTGAAGAATTATTAGCGCTTAAAAAGTTCAAATATACTACCATGATACTACGCTTTTATTCTGTAGACATACTATTGCTCACTATAAGTTGTTCATTTATGCGCACTTTCAACATATTGATGTTGATCAAAAACAATGTTGTAAAAAGGATGCATTACTTCAAACATTGAAAATATTCGGTATTATTTTCCCAGCGTTATAACGCAAACGGAATCTTCGGTCGGAAGAAAACGTCATAAGAAGATATACGGCATGCACAATTTTATGAAAACAGTAAATTCTATACTAGAATGCATTATTCATGTTTTTGTTCTCGAAATCTTTTGATTCTATGTGATAAATTCTCCTTGCGTTACAGGTAGTATTCTTTATGCTTCAGACAGATATTGCTTTTCTTCAGGCCTTTTAAATCATTATTGCATAATGCTGGAATTGCAAACGGTAATAAATGTGATGCGACAGCTGTGTATCTTCTTAAATTTTAAGATTACTTAAAAGTTTTAACAATGTTGTTTCAAATCAGTTCTTCGTTATTCGTGAATTAAATACTACGTCAAGCCTTTTTAGCTATGAGGGCATCAATCAGTCTCAATTTCGCTTTTGCTTGTTTATAGGATTCATATATGGTAGTGACTTGCGGTCCACGATCCTCGCGTTGCATACGGCGACCAGCTCGAACTTCAAATTGCGCTTCTAATTCCTTCAATGCTCTACGAAGCCGCTTTTTCTCTTCTCGAGTAGCCCGTTGTTGCGTCAGTAATTCTTCTCTGTAAAAAGAAGAGATGATGTTTAATAAAAATTGTTGACAAATTTCAGTTTCAGTTAAATGTTGTTTTTTAATTAAAAATAGTCTTTAATGTTTTTTTTATTTTATATATCTTTTCTGAGAGCATAAGTATAAATTCTCCGTTTATAATTCTATTTTTCTTCCCGTTTACAATCTGTTAATTTGCTGTTCTGGATTTTCAAAAATATGGAAAAATTCAGGATTATTTTTCAACATCTCTATTACATCAAATAGTTTTTAATAAAATATTTTAAGAGAAGAAACCAAATTTTTTCTTTATTTTGGAGAAATTTCAGAATAAAATTTCGTTTGTGCAAAAAGACCCAGATTGCAGAGAAGGTTTACAGTTGTACGTAAACAGAGGCTAAAAAAAATATGTATTAAAAAAATATTAATTTGATATTTTCTTATATATATATTATATATTTACATTTGGCAATTTTGTATTATATATAATCTCTTAACCTAAACTTACTGAGGAAGAGCGTGAAGACCTTCACCGGCATCGCTACTGCTATGCTGACTATCGCTGTCAGTTGGCAATTGATCTACGGGATCGATACAGTCCAAGATGCCTCGATGTGACATATCAGGCTCGCTGGCTCTTCTATCAGTCTCCACAGAATTTCCTGGAAGATTCGATGACGTAAAATCCATCGTTTCATGCTCTAGGATCGTGGCCAATTCCGTAACGCTGTCCTTGTTTTTGCTCTACAACATACACAGAACACATTGTCACTTTTCTTCAAAAATATGTTTTAAATTACCCTTAGTTAACAACAATTAATTGTTCTTACCGCGCCCGCTCTAATGAGCAGTCTCTTTAAAGTTCTATATCTGTCGTATAATGGTCGAACAACCGCTCTATCTTCTTTAGAGACTGGTCTACCGAAAGTATTCTCGATGTGGAGCAATGCTTTCTGCACGGCCGTCTTTTCGTCTAATAATTGATCATAATTGAGTTCGTCCATGTTATCGGGCCGATTGTATTTGATACGCTTCTCGCTAAGTTTTTTCTCCGCTTCCTTGATCACTTCCTCTATCGATACTGTTTGAGATTTCTCGTGACCATTATTATTATTTGTAGGACTGCCAGTAGTATTCAGTCGATTGTTGGCATTGGCTAGAAGCGCACCTATTGGATCTTCCTTCAGTAATTTATGTTCTTTCCGAAGCTTATTGAGCTCCGTGCACAACCGTTTGATGTCGCGATTGCTCATTTTGTCAGAATGACTCGGTCGATAGCCGAAGTTTTCCTCAAATTCATCCTCATATTTTTTGATTTTTTTCTTCAGGCCGTTAATGTGCTTCGCAAGATTTTTTAGTCCCATTTCCGATGCACTAAGCGTGTTTGGTTGTATTTCCTCTTCGGAGTAAAATCTCCTAGGGAGCAACAACGAGTTTCTTGGTGAGAGCATAGCCTCCACTCGAGCGTCTGCAGCTTCTTCCTGCAAATTCCATTTGATACATATAATTAATACAAAAGTAAAAATTTAAACATTAATTTTTTGATAAAAATCTTGATAAATTTATACGATTTTTTTGCATATTTCTATATAATTTTCTCATATCATATCATCTTTTTTCATATAATTCTTGATTTTTAGATATATATACGTATATATAATATATAAATATATATATATAATTACACTTAATTGTTTATAATTTTGTGCAATATAATTTCTTAATAATTATCATTATATGATTTCCAATTTTTATTTTTAATTAATTTAGATATTTACATTTCCTTCCAAATGTTGAAAGCCCCAATTAGTCAGACTGGGATTATTTAGGTCCTCATGATCGACGGTGGGTGGACGAGCTGGTGAAGGTGATCTGCTCGGTCCACTGCTCAACATCTCCAAGAAGCTTTGAGCTGGCGAGCCATTATGACTATTAGGACTCGGTGACACATTGGAGATGTACATATTTTCAGATTCCTCTTCGTTTTCCTAAAGAAATAAAATTTTTTATTTTTCTTTCTCAAATATAATTTGTGATATATAACATATTATGTAACTATTTTAAGCATCGCAATTCGCAATATTATTTATCACTTTAATATCTATAAAGTTTTATTACTATTAAAGATGTCACATATATAATTTGCGAATTTCGTGATTAGATCAAAATTTAATTATATTAATTTTCGTAACTTTCATGAAGTATAGGAATCTATTTTGCTAGAATTAAATTTCAATTAAAATTAACTTTTTAACACTACATAAATATTATATACGTGACTAAAAATTAATTAATGTTTCTCTGTGATAAAAATATTGAAGGATTTTATTTACCTTGCTAGAACTCGGGTCAGTGTCTGGAATTCTATGCACTCTTCTTCTGCGTGCTTGTCTTCTGCCTCTCGGGGTAAGGCTTCTGCTAAAGCGTTCGCTATTTCTTAATTTTTCGGCGTCGCAGTCATATTTTTCAGTCGCTACAACTACCTCGCACGGTGACGGCACCGACGACGATTTCTTCGATACTGGCGAAACGTTGGTTCTCTCATGAAGCGGTAATCCGCCACATCTCTGTGTTACGTGAAATTACAAATTGATTAGCAATCAAAAGTTTGCATTTTGCTTATAATAAAATTGTGTAATATATTCTTAAAATATTAATTTATTATATTCCAAAAAATACTTCTATTAATATGTAAAATGAAATAAATAATGTATTATGCAATGATTAAACTTTTGATACGAGATAAAATATCGTTTATTAATAGATAACTAATTCTATTAAAAAACTTTTATACTGTAGAATTATATATAAAGAGTAGATAAATTTTTAATAATTATATAAGAATTAATAAAAATATCATATTTTGAGAGCCAAACTTCAATTATTGCGATTATATACTCACCACGCCATGACCCATGTCTGGGCCGAGTTGCGATAAAATATGCAAATGTTCCTGGCTATTGAAATCTTCGTGGCTGCTCACACGTCTGATAGTATCTGCGACGTCGGTGGGACTATCAAGAACACGTTCTTCACTGTTACTCCTGAAAGACACAGTCGTGGCATTCTATATATATTCTATATTCTTTTTTCTAAATTCGCCGTAATGCTAGTAAAGACGAACAGTACTCGCAAAAGTGTTCATAAAATTCAAATAATATAAAAACTTAGCGAATGGACATTTTATTTCTGCAACGCGATAATTCTTGTATGTAAATTCGTATTCAATATTTATTGTTGACAGTAAAGTCAATTTAATAACGCGAATGAGAGAAATCAAAACTGAATGAAATTCGGAATAATTTATCAGTAATCTTTCACCGCACCGTGCAAAACGCTCGTACAGTTATTACACGTAACAGGCTATTACATTTTATAATTAACACGACATAATTAACATGACATTTAAAATAAACAGTAAATGTTTTGGAGAAAATTGTAACACCTAAGCGTATATATACGATGAAATTTACATAAATTATGAAATTGATTTCATTAATAAATAATAATTCAATCCAATTCAAGACATTTAGTTTATTGAAGCATAATGTTTAGTGACATCAAAATTCACACTATTAATAAGATCAAATTAACTTTAGAACACTCACATCAATCTCTCTCTAATCGAAATTTCGCTTGCTCCATGCACGAAAAAAAGAAAACAGCCAATTTTATTTTATAACGTAACGATACAAAATTTTTTGACATTACAACTTATGTAGTTTTTCAAAATTTTAGAGCTTCAAAATAAAAAAGAAAGTCTACAAATATTAATTTAAATCGAAGTTGCAGTGAGTCCTTCCAGACTCATAAAGTGTTTTCAGAATTTTTGGAAAGACGTATGTTCTACTATAATGTTAAAAATGTTATGAATAATGTTGAAGAATTCGTATGATTTTTAATATGTAATTATACCGTATTAGCTTGCGTTCCTGGCAGCAGGATTCGCGACGTTCCTTGCGCTTACGCGGTTTCAGTGCGCAGAGCAGAGACGCACCCTCAGAGTCCTTCGGCTCGTCTCTCGTATCCTTGCAGATCTTACAGTCGCCGGCAGGTACCAAGCCGTTCACCGTATTCTCACGGATACTGTAGCCATACGGAGACAGAGAAAAAAAAGAAACCAGGTCAGATCGTAGAAACGAAGCGCGACGATCTTGAAGGTGTCAACCTTCGAACTTAATTGACTGCCGTTTGAGTCAGTCGGCCGTAGTAAAAACGTAATTTGCGAGCTACGGAAATGAGTGAGACGTCGATATATTAAAATACGAATTAATCATATTAAATAATATTATTTAATATATATAATATTAAATATATATATATATATATATCTCTAAAAATATTACATATTAAGTAAATCATATTAAAATAAGAATTTCGAGTCGCGGAATTAAAAACAAAATTAATAGGTAATTTTTCACACCGCACCGGTTGAACGTGGCGAATCGCACTTACTCTCGATAGTCGATGTGTCAAGTTTTCCATTCACGCAGTATTAGTATACTCCCCTTCTCCCTTTCTTTCAACCGTTAATGTCGATCGAATAAAACGATCTATCATGTCACATCGTGTCATACATAGGATGCGTGATAATAGATGCGACGAACAACGGAGGTAAGGAAAATGTGCAGCTAACAATATAATCATGAACAAGACACTCGGGAACAATGCGAAGCACCTATAGTAATTAGACTAATGCGGCAGGTGAGTGTGTTTACTCTGCATTTAGATCAAACAAGAAGCAGTAGTAATTATACAAAACGGCTGGCTCAGGTGTCGGGCTTCAATGGGGAAGAGTTACTATCGCGTTTAGTTTTCTTATCACTACGAAACTTACAAACCGGATTCGACCGGCTGAAGCGTATTTACGTATGTAGGGAAAAATATTCGCGTCCTTGCGGGTTATTGCTATATAACGCGACGTAATTGCAGTCCGTGGACCGTACCGAGGGTAGTTTCTTGGTGAATAATGTCCTCGTGCGACGTGAGGAGATTTCACGACTACTAATTGTGTGCCATTAAATCATAATGGACCAATAAAAATCACGAAATATTTATTCCACATTCTCGGTTCTTAGGAATATGATGTTGGGTCACTAGGTCGCTTCAATGCAAATACGAGTAACAATAAAAAAAAATTGCTAAAAGTAAATAAAAATGGACAAAATAAAATAAAAACTACCATAGAAAAAACTTATCATTTTAGCAAAAAGAATGCATATATATATATAAAAACTTGCAAAAATAAATATTAAAAATGCCAACAATTCGACTCCCTAATATATATTTTAGAACTAATGACCGTCTGAAGTTGGAAAATATAAATACGTTTTTTTTAAATGACTTTTTTACAATTTAATTTATTTTATTCTGTTTACTTGCATACACACACACACACACATTGCAAAATAAACTATTTATCTTCAACAACTTTACGATTGTCATCTTGTATAAATTGCATAGCTTAAAAAAACTTCAAAATAATTTTATGTTTAATATTATACATTATCCTCTCCAATTTATAAATTGTCATGTAAAAAAATCTGTTTAAAAATATATATGTAATTAGTTGCCTTAATGCCAACCGTTTTATTCAGATTTAGATTTCTGAAATATATAAAAGGAAGCATGTGAACTTTGCGTTTACCTTATTGCACTTAATTTTACGGTCTAATCCAGATATTCTTTTCCCAGATGCAATTCTCGTTCTCGACAAAAGTTTCCTCGCGCGCAAAATATTATCACAGTCAGCGAAATCTTGTTACTATCCTAGGGTTACATTCGCAGCTACGATTTAAATTCACATCTCGCGAATCTAATCTTTTCACGTAATCATCTTTCCTTGCGAACGTGCAAAATTAAAGTTGTTCATTTCAATTTGCCATAACTTTCTCTTATAAACGCTAATTGACATGTAATAAAATTGTAATGTAATGTGTTAAATTTTACACGATAGTACTACTTCAATTGTGAAATTTTTTTCTTCCTGCAAATCTAGATGTTTTTCGTCCCGCAAATTCAGATCGTTTTCGACGTCTGACTTAATCTTGTATCACAAATCGTGACTCGAATAGCAACGTATACTTAAACGAAACGCGATAAATACTTTCATTGTGACTCATCAAACCGCGCGGTAGCTTCTCGTGCAGAAACGAAGCTTGCGGAAATAAAGATATGACGCAACGACATACGTCTCAATTTTCGTTGATCTTTTTGACAAAAGTATTGAGTACGATGAAAAATGAGACTGTTATTTCAAATTTTTATCACACATTCATAAACAATATCTTTTATTTTAACAATTCAATAGTTTAAAAATTGCTTATTAATTTTTCAACTTACATATCTATTAAATTAGCTATCTGAAGTTATAAATAATATAATATGCTGCTAAAAATAGTTTATATACAACATAAAATGTATTTATACATTTATGTTGTATATAATTTATGTTGTATATTGCATAAAATGTATGTATACATTTATAGATATCTCAGAAATGCAATATTATAATTTAAAATATTGCCCAAACAATATAAAAGATTTGCAGCTTTTATAAAAAATTTTAATATGTAATTCAAAACTGCTAATAAAATTATGCAAATAATGTCTTTACAATTCAAATACGAAACACTTCAATGTATAATGTTTAAATTAAAATATTCAATATTTATACAGCACATATTTATACAACGTTTAAATGTCGCAATAAAATTTATTGTGAAGTATATTTACAATGACCAACAGGAAAAAAAATTCTAATTAAATGTCGCTCTCAGACTCAATTCTTCTAAGTGAGTCAAATATTGCAGCAGATGCATGTATACTCTAAATATAATATCTTCGCGTGCACATATAAATATAACTTGTTTATCTATCAAGGGTCTAAAAGTCTATTGGGAAAATTCCAATGACGTACCTAGTATCATTGTTCCGCTACATCGCAAATTTTCGATGATCACAAGTCGGAAAGTTAGTATCGCAGGAATATCAACACAACCACGAGTCAATTATGCCGTCATTCGTGCCGGTAACGCGCTGTTAATAGCTGAGCGATCAATCCTTAATGAATGCGCGTCAATTTAGCAATGATGCTTCGCAAACTCTGCTATTAAGTACTCTGAACATTCATGCAAACCCAGATATACAGATGTAGAGATACAATATGTCATTGCAAAAACAGTAATCTTACATAAGAGACGATTTATGGATTTGTGAGAAAATATTTGCGTTAATTGTTAACCAAGAAATTCATTGATATTATCTATGTATTGATAAAGAATATCACACTTTTATCGAAAGTTATTAATAAAAGCCAATTACGTATTATAAGTTATAGCGTTCTTGGTCACAGCATCCGCGCAAAAAACCCGACAACAGCATTTTTCATCTTGATTAGCTTCTCGATTTTCTGGCTGTGGCGAAACAGGTTTTTTGCTTTCCATATCGAATACAACTGGCGATCGATTTAGAGGCACGATATTCGCGCGCAATATTTTTACGATCGTGGAGATCGACGAATGAATAGGAAAGTGACAAAACGAAGCGCATTGATTCGCGAAGAAGCGCAAACCTATTGAGAGATAATCGAGGTGACACGATGATGGGAATGATGATGCATCGCCCGCGTCGTCACGAATAGATCTAATAAATTGGCAAGCCGGATTCGCACGAGACATAATCCGATTAATTCGCCAGTGGACACGACTATATAGGGACTCGCGCGCCTGTCAACTTTGTTTCATGTAGATTAATGTCAATTAGCAACATGAACGAGGTCTCGAGATAGCCGTTTACTATATGAATCATATCTTCTAGAAACACTCTCATGCAATTTGTTTATTCCTAAAAGAATCCAGACCTGTGCAACATCCATTGTAAATTTACTAAAATCTTTTTCAAAAATATCGAAGCAATCGAAGCAAATAAGTTGACAGTTTATAAACTGTAAAAATTATAACGTTTTCCTTAATATATAAATATAACAATTTGCTACATTTTAATAATTTATCGATTACTTTTCTTGATACATTCTCGTTATTTGATCGCGCTAGCATTAAACGGTACAATTGAACAGATAAAATTCTCTCGTGATATCGCTTCTAAAAATAAGAGAGAGGTCACTTCTCTCGTGTCAGCTATTGTTACTGTCTAGCCATTGCATAAGAAATTTTCCGGGGTGAGCGATATCAAGGTGCATGATAAGCGACGCGCGAGCGTTATCCAATCCAGTCTCGTAATTCCGCGCAGTACTTGCACTTTTGCCACGGTTAATAAATTTCGATTAAGGGCAACGTGGAAATCTACTCTTCGCTGTGAGCTCCGGCGCGTTTTAACAAGACCTCTTTCACGAATTACCATGGATTACGGCGCCGAGGCGCCGCTCGGCGAGACGATATGCCGCGCGATCAAACGCCTTCTAATGCATCACGATGCAAACGGGAGATGCAGAATGTGCTGTTGCGATCTGCCGATATTGTGTAGAGAGTTGTGAGAATTTCAAGTTCTTAAAAAGAATCTTGAAATTTCTAAAATGTCTTTGGGTTTTACTTTCTACAATTTCTTACAATAAAATTTCGTAATTAGCTTTGGAACGACCGAATCTAAAATTTGACATAAAAGTATTAAGTATAACATAAGCATGGCGCAAAATCAGAATATCATAATAGAAACTGTTTCTACACAGAAAATAAAATTACAAAATAAAATTATAGTTCATATCAAGAACTTCCTTGAGATTTAAGTCGTTCTTGCTATTAAAATTAGACTGGCAAGTTTACAATATTTTGTATGTCGACGTTCGTGTATTTATAGATCATAAAGAGTCTGTTGGAACTCGCATCAATATGAAATATCATAGAGGCACTTAACACTTTTAACGATGTTGAACTAAACAGTGTTTAAATATTTTATTATTAGATATTATTGTGTATCATTCTTTTTTTTCTCTTTTTAAGCGCTATTGAATTGTTTTCATCAATTCTGTTTAAACTGCTGCGACATTTAGTATGCGGTACGTACTTCTGGCAGTTTTTTATCGATACAAGTGTGTTTTAACGTTAGCTCGACGCTTTAAAAAGAATATC